GCGGCATTCCTTCCTGACACTCAGTAAATAAAAGTGAACACATTAACACTGATTTTTTTTTTTTACCTGGGAAGATGAGAAGGTCCAAAGTTTCCCTGCCAGGCCCAGGTACCAAAGCCTTATGATGTGGTATCCAGAATAAAGTGGAGGGTTCACATCCCTTGTCCTTCCTGCTCCAATCTCATTTTCTTTTCCTTCATTTGACACAGTCTTCTTTTTCTTCTGACACTGTCTTCTATCCTCCTTGGCTCCTTTACCTTTCTGCTACTTTCTGCTTATTCTCCTTGCAGACCCTTTCTGCTCCTTCTCCTACTTTACCTTTGTGCTCCTTCTGATTCTTTCTGCTCCCTTACCTTTGTGCTCCTTCTGTCCCTTTCTGCTCTTTGCAGACCCTTCCTTCTCCTTGCAGACTCATCCTGCTCCTTGATGCCCATTGCAGACCCTTCCTGCCCCTTGCAAACCCTTCCTGCTCCTTGCAGACCCCTCCTGCTCCTTGCTGACACTTCCAGCTCCTTGCTGACCCTTTCTGCTCCCTGATGTCCCTTCCTGCTCATTTCTGTTTCTTCTCCTACTTTACCTTTGTGCCGCTTTACCTTTCAGCTCCTTGCTGACACTTCCTGCTCCTTGCTGACCCTTTGTGCTCCTTGCTGACCTTTTGTGCTCCTTGCAGACCCTTCGTGCTCCTTGCTGCCCCTTCCTGCTCATTTCTATTCCTTTGTGCTCCTTCTTCTACTTTACCTTTGTGCTCCTTGTTGTCCCTTCCAGCACCTTGCTGCCCCATCCTTTTCATTTCTGTTCATTTCTGCTCCTTCTCCTACTTTACCTTTGTGCTCCTTGATGTCCCTTCCTGCTCATTTCTGTTTCTTCTCCTTTCTGCTCCTTCTCTTACTTTACCTTCCTGCTCCTTGCTGACCCTTCCTGTAGGCTGTCTCTCCCATCCTTCACTTACCTGATCTATAGGATGCCACCCCCCCATCCATCACTTACCTGAGCTATAGGCTCCCCCCCATCCCTCACTTACCTGATCTGTAGGTGGATCCCCCCATCTCTAACTTACCTGATCTGCAGGTGGATTCCCCAATCTCTCACTTGCCTGATCTATAGGCTGTCTCTCCCAACCCCCATCAGTCACTTACCTGATCTATAGGCTTTCTCTCCCCCCCATCTCTCACGTACCAGATCTCTAGGTTGTTTCTTCCCACCATCCCTCACTTAACTGATCTATAGGCTGTCTCTCGCCTATCCACCCCCTGACTTCCCTGATCTGTAGGCTGACCCCCATGCCTCACTTCCCTGATCTATAGGCTGCCCCCCATGTCTCACTTCCCTGATCTATAGGCTGCCACCCATGCCTCACTTCCCTGATCTATAGGCTGCCCCCCATGCTGACTAGGCCCCCATGCCTCACTTCCTGATCTATAGGCTGCCCCCATGCCGCACTTCCCTTATCTGTAGGCTTTCCATTCCGACTTCTGATGATCTATAGGCTGCCCCCCATGCCTCACTTCCCTGATCTATAGGCTGCCCCTCTGCCTCTCTTCCCTGATCTATAGTCTGCCCCCATACCTCACTCTCTGATCTGTAGGATCCCCCATTCCTCACTTTCCTGATCTATAGGCTGCCCCCATGCCGCACTCCCTTATCTGTACTCTCCCCATGCACTTCTGATGATCTATAGGCTGCCCCCATGCTTCACTTCCTGATCTATAGGCTTCCCCATGCCTCTTCCCTGATCTATAGGCTGCCCCCCATACCTCACTTCCCTGATCTGTAGGCTGCCCCCCATGACTCACTTCCCTGCTCCGTAGGCTGCCCCCATTCCTCACTTCCCTGCTCTGTAGGCTGCCCCCATTCCTCACTTCACTGATCTATAGGCTGCTCCCCCATGCCTACTATATATATAAGGGATGCAGTGTGTGTATAGAGGATGCGGTGTGTGTATAAGGGATGAAGTGTGTGTGTATAGAGGATACAGTGCGTGTGTATAGAAGATGCAGTGTGTGTGTATAGAAGATGCAGTGTGTGTATAGAGGATGCAGTGTGTTTGTACTGAGGATACAATGCATGTGTATAGAAGATGCAGTGTGTGTGTATAGAGGAAGCAGTGCGTGTGTATAGAAGATGCAGTGTGTGTGTATAGAAGATGCAGTGCATGTGTATAGAAGATGCAGTGTGTGTGTGTATAGAGGATACAGTGTGTGTGTATAGAGGATGCAGTGTGTGTGTATGTAAGGAAGGTAGTGTGTGTATAGAGTATGCAGTGTGTGAACAGTGGATGGAGTGTGTGTATATATTGGATATATAGTGTTTTTTTACCGGGTTATTTACTTAAGTGATAAATCTAAGATACTCTGCCTTGAAAGTGCATGCAACAAGGAACGAGCTGGGGAGAGCCAGGTAAGGCACTCACAGACTCACTATGACCCAGTGGCAGGTGGGCTCTATTAACCAGGAAGAGAACTTCCCTGGCAGTTTGATTTACAACCAGGGAGATGTTTCTTATACAAAAGTAGAATTTTTCATGGACATAGGAACTATTATAGTGTGCAATTACAATGGGATACTCCATACACATACAGCACTTCAGCAAGCTGAAGGAATTGCAATGCTAGTAAACTATGGATGAAGTCCCTCTGACTTTTGACAGACTGTTTTAACTGGCTTGAGAAGGGACATAGGATATGGGCGATACGACATAGGATATGGAAGATACGACATAGGATATGGGCAATACGACATAGCATATGGGAGATATGACATAGGATATGTGAGATATGACATAAGGTATGTGAGATATGACTAAGGATATGTGAGATATGACATAGGATATGGGAAATACGACATAAGATATGGGCGACACGACATAGGATATGTGAGATACGACATAGGATATGTGAGATATGACAAAAGGTATGTGAGATATGACAAAGGATATGTGAGATATGACATAGGATATGGGAGATATGACATAGGATATGGAAGATACGACATAGGATATGGGCGACACGACATAGGATATGTGAGATATGACATAGGATATGTGAGATATGACATAGGATATGGGAGATACGACATAGGATATGGGAGATACGACATAGGATATGGGAGATACGACATAGGATATGTGAGATATGACATAGGATATGTGAGATAAGACATGGGATATGGGAGATACAACATAGGACATGGGTGATACGACATAGCATATGTGAGATATGACATAGGATATGTGAGCTACGACATAGGATATGGGAGATACGACATTGGATATGGGCGATACGACATAGGATATGGGAGATACGACGTAGGATATGTGAGATACGACATAGGATATGGGCGACACGACATAGGATATGTGAGATATGACATAGGATATGTGAGATACGACATAGGATATGGGAGATACGACATAGGATATGGGAGATACGACATAGGATATGGGAGATACGACATAAGATATGTGAGATATGACATAGGATATGTGAGATAAGACATGGGATATGGGAGATACAACATAGGACATGGGTGATACGACATAGCATATGTGAGATATGACATAGGATATGTGAGATACGACATAGGATATGGGAGATACGACATTGGATATGGGCGATACGACATAGGATATGGGAGATACGACGTAGGATATGTGAGATACGACTTAGGATATGGGCGATACGACATAGAATATGTGAGATATGACATAGGATATGTGAGATAAGACATGGGATATGGGAGATACAACATAGGACATGGGTGATACGACATAGCATATGTGAGATATGACATAGGATATGTGAGCTACGACATAGGATATGGGAGATACGACATTGGATATGGGCGATACGACATAGGATATGGGAGATACGACGTAGGATATGTGAGATACGACATAGGATATGGGCGATACGACATAGAATATGGGAGATGTGACATAGGATGTGTGCTAAATAATTGGTACTATTTTTAACATTACAGAAAAATAGAAACAAAATAAATAGAATAGACAGTAAAAAAGTTTAAAATGAGGAGCATTGTCTTGGATTTGAAGGATATATTCCGTCTGCTTGCACATTGCAGGGCAAGCGAGGGCGTTGTGCAGGGAGAGCACAGCTCCAATCACTGCCCACCAGGGAGATTATACACTCCAGCCATCTTTGAGCAAGGAAGGGAGGCAAGGGGAATGTGCTTATGAGTGTGTATGTCTGTGATTATGTGTATGTCTGTGGTTATGTTTATGATTGTGTGTATGTCTATGGTTATGTGTGTATATCTGTGATTATGTGATTGGTTGTGTGTATGTCTGTGATTATGTGTATGTCTGTGGTTATGTCTATGATTGTGTGTATGTCTATGGTTATGTGTGTGTGTGTGTGTGTGTATGTCTGTAATTATGTGTCTGGGATTGTGTGTTTTTGGTTATGTGTGTGTTTGTGATTTTGTGTGTGTCTGTGATTATGTGTATTGATGTATCTGTTAGTGTGTGTGATTGTCGTATGTGTGTGATTATGTGTGTCTGTATGTCTGTGGTTATGTGTGTATACTTTGATTATGTGTGTATGCCTGTGTTAATGTATGTATGCATGTGACTGTGTGTTTGTTTCCATGAAAATGTGTGGGATGCTCCATAGAGCTCAATGCTGTACTCTCGCACTTGTGCAAGAGTATAGCAAAACAAACTCATACAGCAGTAACTTTGGCTCCTGGCATCGAAGCCTTTATTTTAATTATTTTTATTTTAGAAATAAATGCTTTGATTGTATGTACTGTATGTGGGCATTATGCAGACATTCTTTTTACATTCTGTTGTACATTCTAGTAAGCTGTACTGCTAGTAATGCATTCATGGGCCTTACAAATACCTTTAAGCAAAGTATTTGACCATTTTTATCTATCTATTTTTGTCACATCTACTGTATGTGAGAAAAATGTAGTTTCTGTTTTTATACTAACATTTCCTATCCAGTGTGAAATATTGCAAGAAAAAGGAACTGTATTCTGTCTAAAGCATTTTATTCACCAAATATTTTATAAAAATGTAACAAATTAGTGATAAAACAAAAGTTGTGTAAACGTACATAATTAACATTTTTACATTTGCTTGCAAAACATTATATATGCAAAACCGCTGTGGTACAATACGTTTATATGCTAGCGATGTGCACCTTTGTTTTCTAATGAAAAACTCCTTGGTAGTGAAGGGCTTAGGAATAGACATTATTTTCAGTTGTCAATGCATGTTTCATAGAAGTATGGATTCCTAAAATACAATATGCTGTGATGTGAAAAAACACGGTAGCTCTAGCTTCATTATTTTCCTATGATGAAACCAATTTGATCTCTTTTCAGCATCATTTTTAATTGATCATTTGTATCACAAACAGGAGATTAGTTTTGGATGCAAAATGGAATCAATGAAGCTCTCTGTTGCGATCATTGAGGAAACCTATACATTCCTTGTTCTTGTGTTACTTTTTGATTTACGGTATATTAAAAAAAACTGATGTAATTTTGAATTAAATTACATTTGAATGAATAGCTTTTGGATGTTAGGAATTCTAATGGTAATCCCACTTAGGTGCTGTATTATCAGAGCTGCAGTAGATAGGCTATGTTTCGGCTGCTGAGAGAAATATTTGTTTGGTCCATAGGCTCACACATGGTTTAACAAAAAAAAAAATTAAGGGATGAAGCGATATCACCAAATACAATGTTTATGGAATATCCAGCTGCAGAAAAAAACTGATATACAGTTCTAAAACCTTGGTTGTATCTATGGAAATAGAATGCATTATTGTAGGTCCAACAAATTTCTTTTTAATGTTGCATTCTGCTATTTTTACACTAGATGGCAAATTTGCGTTCAGTGACTTACTTGGATCAGCGAGGACTCGGCACATTTGTTTGTGTATCCTTGATACTTTTGTTCAGCAAAATTAATTTGTTAAATTAAACCTCCATCAAACTGATTAAGGAGCAACAAAAGTTGAGTTACAAAATGAATTTAAATATTTTAACTCCAAGCACCCTTTAAAGTTCTCTATAAGACAATGTCTGTCTCTGTCTGTCTCTGTCTGTCTCTGTCTGTCTGTCTGTCGATCATCTATCTATCTATCTGACTCATAAATCTATTTTACAGGGCTTCTAAAAGAAATTAAATTTCTCAAATAGATAACAGACAATAATAATGTTGTTCAAAATCTGGATTCTGGCTACATTAAATCCTTTATTATTATTAGATGAAAAATGGAAAATAAAACAAACCACGAGAACTCAGGTAACATTGAAAATAGTTTTACATTTATTTGCAAAACTTTGGCTGCAGTTGCCTAGTACAAAACAAATTAAACAGACACATGAGTGTCACTGAGCAATACATCACTCCCTACTTCCGAAGGCCAAAGTAGTCAAACAGAAAACATAGCTGACTGACAGAATGTTTCCAATTCAGCTACTTTGACCTTAAATTAGAAACTCACATTGAATTAACTTTTAATTCGCCCTTTAGTAACCATGGCGATATTGCCCTGCACGAGGCAAAGGTATTAAACAGAGTCACGTTAAAACAAACAAGGGACACATGATTCATTTCATTTTTATCTTTCTTCTACAGGTCAAAATTAAACCAACCCCATGTATACACGGAAACAATTATGTCAAATATACATTTACAGGAAATTGCGGGGGTGGGGGGGGGAAATACACAAATTAACTAATTCTTCAGCTTCAGTTTGAGTCTTTGGAAGAAGACATTTTGGGCCAAAATCACAAGTTGGAAAATTAGCCAAACTGATAAATGTTTCAATTTCAGCTATTTAAGTCTAACATTTCCAAGGCTTATCTTGTCAAATCTCCCCAATTCCCATTTAGTAAATAAGCTCAATAGAGTTTCTTTGCAATAAAGCAATTTGTGGAGCAAAATTCAGACCAAAGTAGCCATGACTACCCCTGAGATTGACAATTTTTCAAACTCAGATATTCTAAGTTACATTTTACTTTTATGTTTTCCATTAACTATAGTTCACTTTTAGTAACTAAACCCTCAATATAAATGGAAAAAAAAACAACCATTTTTGTACTATAAGAGTTAGCAAAATACAAATATCTGGTTTTCATGTTTTCAAGTATATTTGGAAAAAGGGTTGGATTTGCCAGTAAGCGGAGTAGGCAGCTGCCTACAGGGTGATGTCGTGCTGACTGGATGCTGTATTTTAAGTGCATTTTTTTTTTATTTGAGTGTGTGAAACAAGCACTTCATGACTAGTGTATGTCTTGAATCCTCTAAATAATAAAACTGACAACAGGATTTTCTGGGTGGTAATGGGTGGGGGCAGGGTGTAAGACCATCTGAGTATTCTGCACCTATAGGCATCTGAGATGTATATGTGGCCTTGCTTGGAATCAGTAAATTGCAGGTTCTCAAATCCCAATCATATTTCCTAAATTTAAATATGACAAGAGCTGAGAAGGAGACAAGAAGAATATAAAAAAAAAAAAAAATTAAAAAAATGTATATTTAATTTTAACTATATGTGCCCTATTGCACATTTTAAATCAGGTCTCCCGTTTTTAATAAAACAAAAAAACAAAACAGCTGTAAAAGGTTTAAAACTTACTTGGAATCAAGCGCTCCATGATTGCGTCCCCACCTTCTCTGATGTCACCACTGAATGTTACATTGCGCATGCACTTAATGTTAACGAACAGTGAGATGATCTTCGTGACTGCTCATCTCACCGCTAAAGCTCACCCCCTTCCTATCATTGTGGTGGGGAATGAGGGAGGGCTGTACAGAGGGTGCTGTGAGCAATGGGCTGGCTGGTTGGAGGGGGTTGGACTTTTACTTGCAGGCACGCACACAGCATGTTTCCAAGTGAAGACTCCAATTACGTCCATTGCCTGCATGCTGACGGCGGATGTAATTTTTGCACAGAACTTAAATTAGGCAGCCCAGAATACAAGAGTTATGAGCTACCTGAGTCACGTGTGCTTGGGATGTAATTAGCCTAGCCACAAAATCACAGATATCTGTCTGTACATGCAGCATTTCCACAATCACATCTAAAAGAAGAAGTGGTCATGGTCGTTGGAGTAACCCTTTAATGCTTTTCAGCTGGTACGAATGAATCAAAAACCTTTTAATTTATGCATGAACAAATCAATCTGTCCAGGATTTACTTGTGAAACCTTATTCATTGAATTTAAAATTTGAAATTATATCTACCTAAATATCAGCTGCACTCTTGTCTGTGGTAGGAATACGGAGATATAAACATGTCTCTGAATCAAAGCACTTTTTAGAATGGACTCAAAAGGATACTATTTTGTGATAATCTGCTCTGAAGAGCTTTCAGTTGTAAGAAGTGGTTATACTGGTTTGCATTCACATGGCACACCTTTGTGGGTTTTATATCATTAATGTAATTCATAACAGGTTGGCAAGCATTAGTGCTTGAAGCTGAAGGCACCTGGATTTCAACATAAATAATATTCTCACATAGTAGACACATGAACTAAACTAGTTTGGATTGTGGGCTATTTGCAGGTGCTATTCTAATTCAGCCCTTCTCCCACTATTCATATGCCAGCATAGGAACGGTGGAGAGATAAACACAACAACTCCGTTTCCTCAGCTCCTCTTGTATGAAAGTAGGTCTGAATTAAGGACCACAGCCCAAAAAAGAGCTGCTTCTCTTCAGGGGTGATAATTCCACCATTTTCGCATGTGTTCGTTTAAAGGGAATCTATAGTGCCAGGAAAACAAAGTAGCTACCTGTAGTGGCCAACCTTACTCCCCGTGGTGCAGAAGGGAATAAAAACCCCTTCTGTCAATTACCTGAGTCCAGCGCCAATGTCCCTCGGCTCTGGCTCGTACGCCACCTCCGCTCCTCCCCCAGTCAATGTCAGCCGGCAGGGGATGCACTGCAATGGCATCTCTAGCATTAGGGATTCCCCCATAGGAAAGCATTATACAATAGTTTCCTATGGGGTTTCGGGTGATGCTGGACACCCTCATGCATAACAAAAGTTGTCTAACGACCCGGAAGCCCCTCTAGTGGTTGTCTTGTAGGCAGCCATTGGAGGTGGAGTTAAGGGGAGATTAATTATTGCAATAACTACAATAACTATTGCAGGGTGAAGGGACCTGGGAATATGCACCAAGACCACTTCAATGAGCTGGAGTGGTCTGGGTGCCTATAGTGTCCTTTTAAGCATATACTAAATTGACAATCTCCTATCAGTTCAACTCTCCCCTATTTTAAAGCAGTAAACCACCACTTATGACCATGGATGATACATCACCCGTATCAGCAAGTGAGCCCGTGCTTCTGGTGGCTGTAACATAATCTTGCTCTACAAACAGAATATTAAAGAAAGTCTCCCGCTGCACCTATTTTTCTCATAGACTTCGAACACAAAGAAGCAGTAGTTGACATTGTGCTTAATGAATGGACGGGCAGAAGGATAGAGAGAATAACAGATAGATAGATAGATAGATGAGCTCCCTAGATCAGATGTTAGTGTATGGAATCAATGTATCATGTATGGCAATGATTTTTATTAGACTGATCAGAAGATAAGACATAACTAGCTCTTTTTAGTAACATATTAACTCTTGTTGCATGGACATAACATTTTAGGGCGTGTGACTGCTTCGTTCTTACTTCAATGGATAACTATTTACATCAATCTTTCATAGACGTTGATGGCAATAGTTACCATTTAGTTGCTGAGAAATAGGTTGAACATACTTTTAGTTAAATTCTGATTCTAATAATATTACAAATTGTGGATTCTTGTACAAAGCATGTACAATGTTACAAATTATATCCATAGGTACAGCACCACCTCATTTTTAACACAGCTAAAGTACACTTCTTTAAATAGTCAATTTAGGGAAATCGTACATGTTTTTCTATAAAATATTATTTAAGTAAATAACTGGAAATAAATCTGAAAATAATCCCCAAATATTTTTTTTATTAACATATATAAAAGTACATCCAAAAAAAGGATTTTTTTTTTTAAAAGGCATAATGTCCATATAGATTCCATAGCTTTATATGGGTTAAAGGTACATGTCTCATTTTATTTTGTATCATAGTGTCAAATACACATAAACTTGGTAGGTAGAGTATTCCCAGGCTGTGATTTTCTTCAGAGTGCTTTGAGTATTGTATCCATTTGATCCATCTATAAATATGTTCATTGTGTCTATAAGAGCATTCTGGATTTTCAATCTTCTTCTACCATCCGTTGGCATTTCACATTCCAGACTTGGCTTTAAGTTAAGGTCTCCACCTTCGAAATCCCAGTACCATGCTGCACCCATAGCAAATGGTCACCGTGAACGCAAATATCTAGCATCGAATAGAAGGGGAAAAAAATACATTGTCATATTTTAATTAAAATGATATTTTTCTATCAGGAGTCAATAAAGAATTATGCTTCCAATTAATTATAATGCTTAAACTATTTTGCTATTTTGATTTTCGTTTGCTAGAGTTTAGTGTTACGGGTAGAGAAAATGCAAATGATTCTCCAGCTGAAGGTAAACCAGATTCACAGGACTAAACACGATATTGACATCATCCATAACTTGTGTTAATTATATAATGAGATGTTGCTTTCTTTTAAATGTATATTAAACAATTAGCAATTGCCATCACAATGCAGTTTGGTCCTGGCACATCCAAGGAACACAATGTATTGTAGGATAAACAGAAACATTTATGGTTACCTAAACACTGGATTTTGTCAAAATGGATAAAATTAGGTGAAAATGGTTGAATTGCAATTCTCACATTTAATAAGCCAAATCCTGCCAATATCCAGCCGATCTGACTGAATCGGTAACATTCAGTAAGAAGCTTTCGGGGTCTGGTTTAAAATCAGTGATTTTTATATGTGAATTCTATACAAAATACAGGTCATACTTGAAAAAT